TCCTTGTAAAAAAAAACAAAATTACAAATCTAATCATGCGTAAAATAATAAAATGCAAGTACACTATAAAAACTAACGATACTAGTCTACTACACCGATAATTGAAGAAATTAACAGCTTTATAACAAAAAAAATAAAAAATAAATGTATATTGTAATTGTAATAAATAATAAAGAACTAACCGAATAATGTGAATAAATATGTAATTTTGTTATAGAAAAAAAGAAGAGAATTTGAGCTCACACTACTGCTATGAAATGTTGTGTTAATTATCTTCACAAAATATATGAAATTATACATAAATATTAGCTCATTGCATCAGTTTTTAATCTTTTTATTTGGTACGTACCCCGTGCAATATACGAGATAGAGATATTATATTAGTTATTTTTCACAATTTTGTCTGTTTAAGTCTAAAAAGTAATAGGTTATCATCTATTTTCTACCTCTTTTAATCATGTTAAAACAAATAGGGTTATAAGCTTTTTTCCACGTCTTTTGACCAGCGTTTTTTTTAGCCAGAACATTAAATATGAGCATGTTATGGCTAGCTTATAAAATAATTAATATATTATCTCACTAAAACATTTATATTAATAAAAATTTAATTTCAACATACAAATTTATCCCTTGATATAAGAGAAACTAACAGTTTTACTTATTTTTGTTCACAGTATAATATTTAATTATTATTTTGTCATATAATAAAAATAAATATTGTTAAATAATGTAGTAGAATTGTTATAAAATTATATGAATTACAATATGGATTTAGTTTCTTTTTATGATTTGATAATATAACTATAATATATTCTTAATGATATAATAATATGAGATATGGATTTACATAATACTATAGATTTATTACTTAATGTTAAGATATTGAATTAGGTAATATATGATTCGCTAATTTGTAATCTATCTCTTTTTATATTGAAAATAATCATGTGATTGAGAAATAATAACAATTATCTATAAATTCTTTCATTTAATGAATAATTTTTAAATTGGTCCAAGTGTTGAATGCATCCCAATTTTCTTGTAACTAAAATGAGAAGAGATTTTGAATTTCAAATTTTCACTTCAAAACCACGTGCAACTTTGAATGCAGATTTTATTAAAAATGAATTCAACAAAACTCATAATTTTAAGGGCATTTAATGCTACCATATTTTGAGTTGACTTTTCTTCCTACTAAATCTAGTGTGCAATTAATTATGAGTTGACTTTTCTTCCTACTAATTCTAGTAAATGTGATGGTTTTTTATTTAAGTATAGATTAAGTATAGATTTATCACATTATCTCATTTTCACAATATATGAAAAAATATAGCATAATCTATGATTCTATATCCAATAATATGCCGAAAAAAAAAAATTAATAAATAAAATTAAGGAGTGTCTGTAATACGTTATACTGGATTGGGCTAGTTGTCACTTGTTAGCCCATATGAGCTTATGTTTCCAACAAGTTGGGCTCTGTAGGTTTTCATTAATATTTCAAAGTACACTGTTGGGCTACCTTACAATTTTGCACACCTAATTCAATTATTAAAAAGAAATACATATTTCTACAATAAAATATCACATAAATATTTATGTTATTTTTCAAATTAATATGAGTATAAAAAATATAATGGTCACGCAGCCAATAGCATAATATATTAATATCCCATGAAAAAAAAGGCACAAAATGGCAAAAGCAAGGTAAATTCCACAATAACTTAAGCCAAAACCACCTCAACCAAGATCTAATTTAAGGTTGTCTACCTGCAAATTATCAACATCTATTTTCACCTCACCACAAAAGGAAAGCTCATGACCCACAGTTTTTCGCCACGTGTTCGAACTCTTGTGCAAAATCCACATAATTTTAGTTTGGGCACTGACAAATGGATTGGACACCACTTACAAGCGAATAAGTACATAACTGAGGGACCAAATGGCAACAAAAGAAAATTTCTTTGTAATCATCAGATCACATTCCATCCTCAACTCTCCCACACAAATCATGGAGGACCATATCCATGAACTCCTGCAAATATTTACCAACACCAGACATAATATGGTGAAATTGTGCCAGCATCGACAGAACGTAAACCCGAAAAAAATAAAATAAATAAATAAATAAAAAAGTATAGAAGGAAGATAGGAAAAAAGAGATTAACCTGTGCAAGATCAAGAGTGCATATTGCATTAGCAAGATTTTCCTCCGAACTGCCACTGCTGCCAAGTTGCGCTGCCAACATAAGCAGAGAACGGAAAATTTCTATGGACGAGTTCTGTTCTTTGAGCCTCTGAACCACTTCCCGGAGATTAATCTGCCGAATGAGAAATCAAGGAGCAAAACGTACGCTCTAAATCATTCATATAAACGGAAATTCATATGTAGGAAATATAAAGAAAGTGATTTTCTTTCGGCAATAGATGATCATAACTTTCTATATCTAAAATCATCAGCACAAGAAACATAGAAGAATCCTAACACGAAATGAGAGTCTAATTGTTACAGAGAAAAAATTGAAAACCAAGAATTATGGCATCAGTTACCAGAGGTGTCAACGCAGGAGATAATGGTAAAATTTACCGAGACCAAACTATCAAATACTTATAATAACATTCCTCAGTTACCAAAGAATTTAAAAATTAAAAATATCTCCCACGTTCAACCCTAACAAACATACAACCTCAAACTATTATAAACACAACCTTAAGATTCATCGCATTCAAAATTAGAGAAAATCAAGGGGGCATTTTAATACATGCAGTGTGTTTTCTGATTAAGATTTAACCTCAAGGGTACTTCTGTCGATAACCCAAAAACCCGTCTGCTATGCACCATCATCTTTCCCAAAATTTTCCATGTATGTAAAAACAATACAAACCTGAGGATCATCACTCGTCCGTGTCACATCTTGTGGAGGATTCATTTGGGGAGCAGCCGCAGCAATACCTTCTAAAGCCTGAGAAATTGCCGGCAGCATCTGCTGCATATTCGTTGACAGGTCAAAGCTCCCGGTCTGCACCTGCTCGGCAAGCTGATTCAACGGGTTCCTCATGACTGGGTTTTGAGTTAGCTGTTGCATCAAATTTCTCAATACTTCAGGAGAACCAACCCCAGTGTATTGTGAGAGACGAGTCAATAGGCCGTTCACAGAGGAACTGCTCAGGAGTTGAGACATTGAATCTGCTAAATCGATATCGCTTTGCCTGGATGGAGGCAAGTGTACGTTGCTACCCCTTTCAGGCTCAGAAGATTGTCCCGAGGGTGGAGGATTGGGATTTTCCCTAGTGGCAAGTGCTGAAAGGGATTGCAGGACTTGTTGAGCCACGGCTCTGCTGGAAGATGCACGGTCAGTGGTCTTTGCTTCAAATTTAACTGGTTTCTGTGAAGCATAATACAAAAGCATTACATGGGTGATAATGATAATCGAGAGCACATCAGTGTTTTTTTATAGTTCTAAGTGCATCGACCTTGTGATATGGTGTGATTCATGAACACAAGCAAAAAAAATTCAATCATAGTCATTAGCCAAAGAACCAGAACGAGAAGAACTTTCAAGTGTAGAATGTTAAAAACAAAACAGAAAACAAGCAAAATAACACCGGCGGAAAATGCTGCATTTACATGAAATTTTCCATCAGGGAAGGAAGATTTCATAATCGATATCTATGTAAAGAGAAATGCTATAGGTACATAATATTGTACAAAACACTCACATTGAGTGGGACCGACCAACAATAAAAAATCAAGTGGACCCCACTCCCGTACCTTTATTATGTACTTGTGGCATTTTTCCTGTGTAAATCTATCTAACTTATGATTTGAGTCAAATATTGAGAAAAGAAACAAACAAAAACAAACAGCACAAAGAAACTCACAAAACCCTTAATACGAATATATGTATATATAAAATATATGTTATATGTGTGTAATATTTACCTTAGGTTGAAGGCCTCCCAGTCCGAGTCCAAGAGGGACACCTAAAGACCCACCTTGAGTATTATTACCCTGACTGTGTCCTGCAGAGCCTTCACCGTGCCCAGACATATGAGACCCTCCGCCAGGACTGCTAGAAAGATCAGTCTTTTCCTGGAAACGCAGTTTAGATTAGTACAATAACAACCATAGCAGCATTACAATAAAAAAAAAAATCAAATCGAACATTCACCGTTTTTCACCTTTTGATTGTCTGTGATGGCAGTCTGAGTGGTTTTACCAACTGTGCTACTGGAAAAGTACCTCGGCTGGTGATTTGTCTCATTATCTCTAACACCAGTACCAGGTGGTTGCCCCTGATTAGCCAAACCTCCTGATTCATCAAAGATGAAACAAAAAGTCCCTCAACAGAACATACGAAAAACGGGGCGCAAAAAAAGCGTATTTTCACCAATCGCACACCTGATGGTGCCTGACTTCCATTCTGTATGCGATCAGCTATGTCTCTAATATAATCATTGAGACTAGATACATTTGAGAACACAGGACCACCGGGATTGATAGCCTGTGAACCCCCTGCACCAGGTCTTGACGGAACAGATGTTGTGGTCACATTAACTCCTGTTGGAACCTGTGCTTGACCTAATTCACCAGAAGCCCCATTGCCTTGTTGCCCTTGAACTTCTTCTCCATTAGAAGATCTGTTTCCAACCACAGGAACAATGGATGCAAGTGCTGCCCCTGGTTTAAAAAGTGGAACTTCATTGAGACACTGGGAATAAATGATTTACACAGAGGATTAGAAGAAAAAATTACGTATGGCTGGATTACCAGTATGTATATGAATATTCACATTCCTAGTCACACTGGCAAATGGAGGAACAATAGCAAGCCGATTCTGTGTGGCACCAGATGAGCCACCGAAGAGAGAGGTCGTTTGAAGAGGGAACGGCTGCATATAGGGATCCAGAATCATTGTATATAACAGGGTTCACCATCAGATATACAAGCATAATATGATATTTACATGCACACACAAACACACAGACTCTGGGATAGGGGTCAAAATTGATATCCAGAACAAGGTTCAAGGAGCATGCATTTCAATGGGCATACTTGAGGCAGTAGAAAAGAATTTGGAAAAATTAACAGTTGAACAGTTAGCATAAACAAGTTTCTAGAACTACGAACCTGAACCATAATTGGATTTGGCCTAGACGGAGATATGTAGACAGCTGGCCCAGCATTCACATACGATTGATCCTGCATAAGCACCAGAAATTCTTAGACGACACGGCATACAGAAAATTGCCTGGTGCGGAACACAAGGGAAATTACGTACAGATAATTGTCCAACACGAAGATTCAAAATTGTCCTTCCCAACTCTAGAAATAGTGCACCTAAGTGCTGCATAGCAACACCTAATTGTGCAGTTTCTGAATGAACTTGCCCCCGAACAGCAGGGTCACTTGAACGTCCCTCCTGGTCTAATCGCCCTGCAGTTTGCTACAAAATTGCAGCAGATTATAAATGGAATTAGAAACTAAAACAGAAGTATTAGAGGCATATATAAATTTGGAAGGGG